TCCCACCGCTTCCAGCGCGGGTCCCAACCCGGTGAGGCGGAGTGCCTGACGGACTGCGCCGCCGGGAGTCGGACCCAGGCCTGGGGGAGCTGCCTGCGCACCCCTTCGGCCCAGCGGGGGGCCCCGGGGCGGGGGCCCGCACAAAGCCCTATTGTGGTTTGAGGATAGTCGCCACAGAGTGGCTTTTGTTCCTCGGCCTACTCCGCGGCGGGCACGACTGATTGCAAGCCGGGGGCAGGAGGCGGGGTGAGGGCCAGGCAGGGCCCGCCCGCCGGGAGCCACACCACGGCCCAGCAGGAGCCGCGCAGCCGTCGGCGCTGCGACCACTGCCCCGGGTGACTGTCGGTGGGTGCAGAAGCAGACAAAGGGTGAAGGAAGTAGCCGCCGCGCCTTCCTAACTCGGCCGACTGCACTGCACGGTCAAAAACGACTCTGCTGGAGGGCAAGGCCTACGAAGTACATTATTTTACCGCGAGTGTAACGTGCAAACGGGCACGGTAGACAACTGACCCATGGGAGGCCCCAGTTTGCTAAGGAGAAATCCTGTGGCCCACCCTTTGCCCTTTCTCTTCCCTTTTCCCACCAGCACAAAACTTCAAATTGAACTTTTTATTTATTAAATTAAAAAAAAAAAAAGATTCCATGAAGGCATGATTCCTTCCCTTCCCCAATGCTATCCTCTCCCCAAGCCCGGTGGCTTTAACCCCTTAACTTGGGGCCTTGAGGGAGCTGGGAACAGAAAAGGAGGATCCAAAGTCACAGGAAAGGCTTTCCGAAGGCACAGGCGGCTTTAAAAGTCATTGGAGGTGCAGTTGGGAAGGTCAGAAGTCCCCTCCTGGGAACCTGTGTCCTCCTACAGGGCTGTGTAAATTCTTCTTTCTTATGGCTTCTAGGCTCCAGGCCTAGCACAGCGCCTTACACAGATTAGGCACTCAATAAATACTTGATTTATTTGAATCTGATCCCAGAGAAAGCCTTCCCCACCCACTCTGCAGAAGAGGCACCTCCAAATCAATGTTCTCCTGACAGGTGGGCTTCCCCGAGAGCACGCACATCTATGATGGCAGCTGGGAGGACCTCATAACCTCAGCTGGGGGAGTTAGCCTGATGGAGGTGAGATGTCTGAGGGGAAGGGCAGTGGAAGAACCTGCTCTGGGGTCCATAGAGCTGAAGTGCATTCTAGTGTTCCCCTCCATAGGCCTGAGGTTCCACAGCTTCTGGCTGGGGATATTTAAGGATCCCCTAATTGAAAGACACCCCGTCAACTCTTTAAGAGAGATTTAGTGGGACCAGCAGTTGGTGTAATGGCTATGTCTCTGAACTCCCATGTAGTTGACCACGGTTTGCATCCTGGACCTGGTGGCTTGAACTCATGCCGGGCACATGTGCATGCATGCCCAAGATCCTGAGAGGAGAATGGAGGAGAAGGGATTGCAGCATGGCCATCCTCCCTGGGGGAGTGGGGGGGTGTAATTTCTCACTTTCTGTCTCCCTGTCTCTCTGGCAAGAGTATGCTCCCTATAGCAAAAACCTCTCAAAAAAAAAAAAAAAAAAAAGAGAGAGAGAGAGAGAGAGAGATCTAGCTCACCAACCCAATTCGTTGAGACACCATTAAAGGAGAAACCCCATTAACTGAGACCCTAATGATAGAAATTCTATTAACGAGATCTCCACCACACTTTATCTATATGGAAATGTATTTGGCTAGAACTTCTTAGCAAAAATGGATCCCCTTCCCTCCCTAGCTCACACTACCTGACCCGTCATCATAACTTAGATAAATAGAATTATTATTATTATTAGTCATTACTCCTCATACATAGGAGTTAAATATACAGACCTGGAGGCACTTCCCTGGCTCTGGGGTCACCCCATCTTTGGGATCAGAGCCCCACTGGTCTGCTCTCTTCTTGGTATCCTGCTCCCGGTCAGATCACTAAGCCTATCCCCCTAACTTTGATCCCTAACGAAGAGGCCACCAGAGGGCAATAAATTATCATCATCATCATCATCATCATTGTCTTTGTAAAAAGGGAAAAAAACTCTGGAGAGCTGAAGGAAGTGGGGTAAGACATTAGAAAGACTGGAGCCTGGAAGTTGAGGGGTAGCCATAAATAAACTCTTGGAAAACAGAAGAATGCATTTCACGGAGTTTGTGAGACAGAGAAACAGTGTTGGGAACCCAAATGGAAGGAAAGCAAGCTGGTCTAACAGGAGCCAAGGAGAGGAAACTGAACGGGTCAGGGAAAGCGTAGGAAACCAGAGTGCAGGAATCAGGTACAAGGTCAGAATGAGGTGAGAATTTGCAGAAAGCCAGGATCATGGCCGAGGGAAGCACAGAGCTGAGGCAGCGAACAAGAACTTACCCAGGCCCAGAATAGCCAGGGGAGAAACAGAGAGAGAGCCCTCAAGGACAGCATGCATCGGGCAATGGGAGTGATGGGCAAGCAGTGGTCCACGCAACCGCAACCGAGAGGGGTTGGCCACCAGCCCTGGAGATGAAGACCCTCAGCTCAGCTCAGATCTCCAGCAGATTGCTTTGCTCAGGGCTGCCTCCAGGGGCTTTCTCTGGTGGTGCTGGTGAGGCTGAAGGTCGTGGAGTCTGACTAGCCTCCTCTTCCCCCACGCTTCGGCCCTCCCCCAGTTCCTTGGGGCCACTGGGAGGAGGTCCCGGGCCTGGCTCGCCATGGGTACGCTGGTGTTTGCTCAGGTGGTCACTTCGGGTGAAGCGCTTGGAGCAGAGCAGGCAGGTGAACTTCTTCTCCCGGGTGTGAGTACGCACGTGGCGCTCCAGCTCATCTGAACGGGTGAACCTCTTGCCACAGAAGAGCCAATTGCAGACGAAGGGCCTCTCGCCCGTGTGCCAGCGCAAGTGGGCCTTCAGGTGTGAGGCCTTGCCGTACACCTTGCCACAACCTGGGATATGGCAGCTGTGGATGGGCTTCTTCCGTAGCCCGGCCGCTGCTGCCCCCAGCCGCTCTAGCTCCTGGCAATTGGGGCAGTCACAGGAAGGGGGCCCTGCCCCC